AGTAGTTGGAGATTACAAGGCATACAAGTAAACAGATGATAAGAACAGGAACAAAAAAGGGAAACAAACCAAGCAAACAAACAAAGCAAGCTATCAGGATTCTGCAATGATTATACATGGAGCTTAACACAACGATCTTAACCATGTTTAAGAAATAAATGACAAATATGAAAATATTTTTAGAATAGCAAACTATAAAAAAATGACAGATTTGAAATAGTCAAACAGCAGCTCTAGAACTATATAATACAATAATAAATAAAATAAAATAGCCAATATTTGCACTTGGCAACAGACAGCTCACATCAGAAGAGAAAATTAGAGAGTGACACCAGCAGGATGGAGGTGTAGAAATTTCTAGCACTTGTTTCCTCCCAGAAACATTAATTTGAACAACTATGCACATATGATAATGCCTTCACAGGAGGTAAGGATTCTAGGTGAGGGATTATAGAACCTGGGTGGAGAACAGAATAAGAAAAATGCATTGAAGAGGTTAGGAAAGAGTTTCATAAAACCTCCTTCATCCTCCCCCAAGCCAGGGCAGCCCAGTGTGGAAAGAGATATAGTCTCTGTGCAGAAAAAAGAGTAACACGAGCACCCAATTTCACCACTGACCCCAGCACCAGGCCTGCACCAGCACCAGGCTGGCCCCCTGACTCTCAGCCCACCTCAACACCTGGCCAGCTTTCATTACCCCCCGGCTCCCACAAATCCAGACTCCCAGCACTCCCCAGTGCCAGGCTGACAACTGGGGCCCCAGGCTCCCAACCGGCTCCCATGGACCCAGGCTCTCAGCCCACTCCAGTGCCAGGCCTGCATAGATTTAGGCTCTAAATTGGCTCCCACAGGCCAGGCTCATGACCTTCCCCAGCACCAAGACAGCCCCAATGACCTCAGGCTCCAGGCAGCTGCTATTAACATGAGCTCCCAACCCACCAGCACCAGGTCAGCCTCCACAGCCCCAGCCTTCAGACCAGCTTTTATGGACCCAACCGCAGAATGGTCCCACATGATCCTCATAGATCCAGGCTCCAGGCCAACACACAAGTCTCACACTTTAGGCTCACTCCAGTGTCAGGATGGCCCCCATGGCCCCAGACTCCAGGCCAACTCCCACAAGCCCAGGTTCCCAGCCTGCCCCAGTACCAGGCCAATCTTTGTAAACCCAGATGCCATCTCACCCCAGTAGTCCTCTGCCACAAACTTTGGGGCCACACACAAAGGAATGCATTAGACAAGAAATATGAATTTAGAAGGCATGGGGGCCAGGCGGAAACCTTTCTCTAGTGGAGAGGCTCCCTGACTTCTGGGTCCTGTTTGCTTCTATTCAATTGAATACACATTTTCCCTTTAGGAGTGCACACAGGCATATCAAAGATAAAGTTTGTTAAACAGTAAAAGGATTATCAGGTTAGGGGATTGCCTTGAGCCATTTGGCCAACAGCAGAGCAATATTATGCTGATTTTCAGCCCTGCTGAATATTGCATTGATATGCTAACTACTGTTGGCTTAGCCTCCAGCAGTCCCAGGTACCCAACTGGCCCCTGCAGACCTAAGATCCAGGCCTGCTCACACAGACAAAGGTCCCAGGCCCACCACTGCAGTCAGGCACTAGGCCTGCCCCCAATGAACCCAGAAACCAGCCAGCCCCTGTGGCCCCAAGCACCAGGCCTGCCCACATGCTGACCCAGGAACCCTATATGCCCATCCAAGGACTCTAGCAGCAAGCCCTCCCACAGACACCACAGTCAGCCCACCATAATATCTGTATGGGCTGACTGACTGGCCAAGGGCTTTTCCTGATGAAGCCAGACTGTAAAAATGGAAAGAGGTACTGTCTTCCTCAAAAGTGCAGACACCAATGAAGGACACAAGAATCATGGATAATCAAGGAAACATAAAACCACCAAAGGAAATTAATAAAGCTACATAGAATGACCCTAAACAAATGAAGATCAATGAATTGCCTAAAAAAGAATTCAGAATAATCCTCTTAAAGAAATTTAGCAACAGACAACTAGACAAAATTAGGAAAGCAATGCATAAACAAAGACATAGAAATCATTAAGAACAAAACAAACAGAAGTCCTTCACTTGAAGAATGCAATGAATAAACTGAAGAATTCAATAGCAGACTGGATTAAGAAGAAGAAAGAATTAATGGACTAGAAGACAGGACACTTGAAATTATTCAATCAGAGAAACAAAAAGAAGAGAGTGAAAAAAGCCCATGTGAATTATGGAATTCTACTAAGAAAAAGAATCTATGCATTTTTGAAGACCTAGAATTTGAAGAGAGGAGGAAGGAGCAGAAAGCTTCTTTAAAATATAATGGCTGAGAATTTCCTAAACCTGAAGAGAGAGTTGGACATTCAAGTTCATGAAGCTCATCGATGGCCCTGAAATTTCAACCCCAAGTTATTATCTCCAGGACACAAAAAATAAAATTGTCTAAAATCACCACATTGTTTATGTTAAAGTTACAGGATGATGTATGTGAATTGTATCTCAGCTCCTGGTAAACAGGAGCGATTTCGATCTCCCTTTAGGAGAAGCTGCTGCCCAGAGGAGAGCTGGCCTACAGCCTCAGGCTGCCACAACCCTGGGCTGCTCCCAGGCCATGACTGAGCACAGCAGCACTGCAGCCAGGCCCTTCCTGGGACCAGGAGCCTCTACAGGTAAGCTTTGCCTGGGGCTCCCTGCCAGTCAGGTCAAGACTTCCTCAGAGTGGTCACAGCTGCAGTGCAGCCTGAAGCTGTTCCTACCCACTCCTCTCTTCCCCATTGCTAGTGTCCCACTTGCATTATGGCCTGAAGGCTCTGCCTGCCTCCTCCCGATCCCTCCCTCCTACATCTTTCCTGTGCATTTCTCCCAACACATTCACTGCTTGTCTAATCTCACCGTGGTGTCTCCTCTTCAGAGCACCCAAAGGGACATGATGTAACCAAGAGTGAACCCAGGGACATGAGGCACGCTGTACAAGAACACAAACAGTATGGTTTCATTCTATAAAACGTAAAGGCAGGCAGCACTAAACTATTTGGGGAGATACGCATATGTGGTGAAAGGATAACAAAATGCAAGGGAATAATAACCATGAAATTTAGGATGACAATTACATCTGAGGGAGGGAGGGGACCGGATGGAAGAGGAACATACAGGGGTTCCAAAGGTCCTGGCTTTGGCTGGGTGATGAGTTCACGTGGGTACCATTTATTTGCATCTAGAATACACTTGTTACTAATATTCCCTCAAACCTACTCAATTTTGACTTTGAAACATAGATAATGGGTCCTAAAGAGATTTCCTGAATTTTCTAAATATGCTAGTAATAACGCAACAATAGCTATCATTTATTGTTTACCACAATTTTATTCCTTAGTTTAAAAAAAATCTTTTAAAAGTGAAATGTAACAATTATTTTAAAAGCCATATGTAAAACAAAACAAGCTAAAAAGCTAATTATTTAAAAGGTAGAAATAAATCAGACATCAGTAAAAAAAAAAAAAAGAGAGAGAGAGAGAGAGAGAGAGAGAGAGAGAGAGGAAAAAATGAATTCAGTCATATGATAAAGCCAGAAATTTTTGCATCTAAATTTTACAAAGAGAAAAACAGTGGTTGAGTGATGGCAGTTGCTCTATATGCAGTGGTGGGTGGCAGGAACATTGGAGAGAGATGGGTGGAGTTGAGGTGAACATTGAAGGTAAACCTCTTTAGGGAAAAGAGGATAGACTTGATGGGTTGGATGTAGGGCTTCAGGGAAAGGAGGAATCAAAGATGAGTCTTAGGTTTCTGTCTTGAGTAACTGGGTGTGGGAGTGGGCATGTTGGACAATTATTAAGGGTACTACTTAGGACATATTCAATTTGCATGCTCTGGGACAACATAAATTGGTATTCCAACAAGAGCCTTGGGCCAGATCAAACTATTCCATCCATCAGGACAGTGTTCCATTCATGAGAAGAGGTAATGTCATCCAGGGAGGCAGCATAGAGGTGAGACAGGGCCTGAGGAACTGCAACTTTTGAAGTTACAGGAGGAGGAACTGGAGAAGAGGAATGAGAGGGGAAAGCCACTGGGGTTGGGGAACATTAGGGGTGATGGTCACAGAGCCCCTAGATGTGAGTGTAAGAATGAGGCAGAGCAGCAGGCTCTGTCCAACATCAATTAAGATGAGGACAGCAGAATGTCCACAGGATGTGGCAACAGAGATGTCATTGGTGATGCTCAAAAAAATGTTTTGGTGGAGAAGTTAGAAGCCAAGACTAGAATGTGCTGAGCAGTCAATGGCATACTAGGACTCAGGGGCATACAAATCACAGTAACAACAAGATATTCTTTATACACTGGATGAACAATGGTTTTTAATTTAAAAGTAAGTTTTGGTCAGGGAAGGAAGGATAAACACATCATTGGGAGTATAAGTTGGTAAATCCACATCAAAAGGCAGATTGCCAGTATCTGTTGAAAATAAAAGATGCACTTACAATATTTTTTGAGAAACTGTTATGTAAGAGGCAATGGCTGGCACATAAGGGGAGTAAATAGGCATAAAAGACACAATCCCTGTCCTCTGTGTATCGATAATTTGGTTGAAAAGAGAGCAAAGGGGCCAAGACAAGAAGAAAAACTTGAGCACAAAGTCTAGCAAAAGAAATGTCACGTGAGAAGGCAAAATGCTATGGACCTTAAAGGAGACAGATAGTGCATTTGGTTGGGGAGATGAGGAGAGGTCTCTCAACACTTCAGACATGTGGGATATTAGAGACATGGGCAGTGAGATACACAGGGATGAACGTGTCTGAGATGTTTGCATGAGAGGAGGTGTTGGAGGAAGAAAGCTGATGTGTTGAGAGTAACTAGTAGAGGAAAGACGCTCTCTTTAGATCTGTCTCAGCCTCAGTTTACACCAGAAAGCAGAGCCTGAGACAAGGCTTGCATGCAGGGTGATGAGAAGGGAACAGGAGTAGGGGCTGGGAAAATGGAAGCAGGAAATCTAGGGCAGCCAACGCAAGGATGTGTTCTTGGGCTCAGCACTGCCATGGGCAGCTATGACCAAGTCCTGCTGGGACCCTCTGAGGACCATGTACATAGATTGCATCTCAGAATTGTCCACCAAGTGATGGGAGAGGTAGCATTTCCCACCCACTCCCATCCCCCACTGGTGAAGGTCTCCTCTGGAGCAGCTCCCTCTTACTTCCTGTTTGCGCATGCATGAGTGCCAAGCAGGTCCCTGCAAGTGTCCTCCCCCAGGTGTCCTAGGCGTCCCAGAGCAGGCAAGAGAGATGGCTGGTGCAGCAGAGATGACTTCTCAAAGCATAGCAGTGACTGAGGAAAAGGCAGGCTAGCAGGGTATAAGGTGGGGTTCAAGGGTTATCCCCAACAATCCTGGGCAGTGAAGCTACAGGAGGTAATGCCAGAAGGACAGGTCTTGGAACAGATTATGCCTGGCTGAGAAATGCAGACTTAGCAATGATCACACTTGTCATGTGCAAAGAAGGGCAGGGTCTCTTGAGAGGAGAGCCCATTGCACGCACATTCATGTCCAGGATATTATATAAATTGCAGCTTATATGTGATTGGTGATGTGAATTTGTAGATTTCATTACAGGCTTTAACTAAAGTCACCCTCACAAAATGGACAATGGGCTTAAAAACATCCCAATAAAGAAACTGTGATTGAAGGTTCTAGTAAAATTCCAAAAAATAACAAGAAAGTGTCATAGCTGACCTACTTCCAGCCACTTTAAAAAGTAAAATCAAAGACAATACAATGAGTTTCAAGAAGTTGCCTGAAAAATAATTCCAACTGATATAAGTGATTCTTTGAAACATGGATTGATTTGCATTCATATTGTTAATTTGCATTCATATGTTAACAATTCACCTTTAACAAAAATATATACTACTAGAGGCCCGGTGCACAAAAATTTGTGCACTCGCGGGGGTGGGGGGGAGAGGTCCCCCAGCCCGGCCTGTGCCCTCTCGCAGTCTGTGACCCCTTGGGAGATAACGACCTGCTGGCTTAGGACTGCTCCCGGGTGACAGAGGGCAGGCCCAATCCCTAGGTGCAGCCCCTGGTCAGGCTCAGAGCAGGGCCAATTGGGGAGTTGGGGCGCCACCCCGTCATGCACAGAGCAGGGCGGATCAGGAGGTTGCGATGCCACCCTCAGTCACGCTCAGGGTAGGGCCAATTGGGGGGTGGGGCATTGCCCCCTGTCACACTCAAGGCAGGGTCGATGAGGAGGTTGCGGCGCCACCCCCTGTCACGCACAGAGCAGGGCCAATCAGGGGGTTGGGGCGCTAACCCCTGTCACTCACAGAGCAGGGCCGATCAGGGGGTTGGGGCGCTGCCCCCTGTCACACACAGAGCAGGGTCGATCAGGGGGTTGGGGAGCTCCCCACTGTCACGCACAGAGCAGGGCCGATCAGGGGGTTGAGGAGCTCCCCCCTGTCACTCACAGAGTAGGGCCAATAGGGGAGTTGGGGCACCGCCCCCTGTCACACACAGAGCAGGGCGGATCAGGGGGTTGGGGCACTGCACCCTGTCACACTCAGGGCAGGGCCAATGGGGAGGTTATGGCTCTACCCTGTCACACACAGAGCAAGGCCCGTGGAGGGGGGTTGGGGCGCCACCCTCTATCACCCACAGAGCAGGGCTGATCAGGGGGTTCGGGCGCCACCACTGTCACACTCAGGGCAGGGCTGATGGAGAGGTTATGGCTCTACCCTGTCACACACAGAGCAGGGCCCATGCGGGGGGTGGTTTGGGGCGCCGCACCCTGTCACACACAGAGCAGGGCAGGGCAATCAGGGATTCCGGGCACCCTGTCAAACACAGAGCCGCAGGGCAATCAGGGGATTCGGGAGCTCCCCCCATCAGGCACAGAGCAGGGCTGATCAGGGGGTTGGGGCGCCTTCCCCTGTCACGAACAGAGCAGGGTGGATAGGGAGGTTGTGGCCCCCCCCCCTGTCACACACAGAGCCACAGGGCGATCAGGGGGTTGGGGAGCTCCCCCCTATCAGGCACAGAGCCACAGGGCGATCAGGGGGTTTGGGTGCTGCCCCCTGTCACGCTGATCCCGGTGCCTGGATCCTTGCTGCTCCACTGATCCTAGTGCTGGGAGGCATATTACCCTTTTACTATATAGAATAGAGGCCTGGTGCACGGGTGGGGGCTGGCTGGTTTGCCCTGAAGGGTGTCCTGGTTCAGGGTGGGAGTCCCAACTGGGGTGCCTGGCCAGGCTGGCTGAGGGGCTGAGGGCTGTTTTCCGGAAGCGGGTGACTGAAGCTCCCAAGCGCTCCTTTTTTCTTTTTTCTTTTTTTATTCTGGGCCAGCTTTAGCTCTGAGGCCTCACTGCTGAAAACATCGATACAATATTGCGGTCTGGCTGGCTGAAGCCCGGCTGACTGAAAGCCGGTTTCTGGGGTTTTGTTTAGCTTCTTTTTTGCAACCTAGTACATAGTTGCTTAGAGTTGCAGCTGAGAGGCCGGTAGCGGCAGGTGGGGATCGTTGGAGTCTGCAGTCACTGGAGCAAGCAAGCCTCCCTGCTCACTTCAGTGCATGGCTGCCAGCCGCCATCTTGGCTGACAGTTAATTTGCATAAGGATATGCTGATTAGCCAATGGGAAGGGTAGCGGTCATACGCTAATTACCATGTTTCTCTTTTATTAGTGTAGATGTGTCAAATTATTAACTATCTAGAGGCCCAGTGCGCGAAATCATGCGAGACCCAGACTTACCACACCACAAGACCCTTCAATGCCCCTCCTGGTGACCAGTCATTTGGTCATTGCAGCATTAAGGCTTTACCGTTACTGGCTTTTTATAATATAGACTAGTAGCCCGGTGCATGAAATTCGTGCACTGGGGTAGGAGGGAAAGGGGCCCCTCAGTCTGGCCTTCAACCTCTCCAATCTAAGACCCCTCAGGGAATGTCCAACTCCCTGTTTGCGCCCACACTTTTAACAGATAACAACTCCATTGTTGTTTCTTTCTTATGCTTAAAACCATTGGAATTAGTAGGTATTCAAAGTGTGTATACATTTTGGGGGGACACCCTGTATATCTCTAGTCAGTGGTGATAGAAACCAACAGCAGATTTGGAACCCCCAGACAGGGAACCTTGCTCACTCCCCACATGTCTCCCCACTTCACTTTCCACCTTCGTGGGCAGCAGGATAATCAACGTTTTCTCTCATTAATTCAGAAAAGCACGTCCTGTCACCCGCTGCCCGGCAGGAGTGCGCTAGGCCCCAAGCAAGCAAGGCTCAGTCAGGGCAGCCTTCGCTCATGGGTGCTGGCACCTAAAGTGCACATTCCTCCTCTACAGTAGCCCCGACTATCCCACTGTTTCACTGAGAGGACGGAATTCCTCTCCGCCTCTAGGTTCTTGATCTTGAATGCTGAAAGAAGGCACCTCAGCGAGGGCCGCCTGCGCCCACCAGGTGTGTCTATCTGCATCTGCTCTCGCCTCAGCACCTGCATTAACCCCCCAAAGGTGATCTCGTAGCTGCACTGGCCTCCGTGGGAACAGAGCTTCACCACTCCGCCCTCTCACTGTCATCTCACAGGCGCCCACCCTCAGCACCCAGAACACCCAGACACTCTCCAAAGGACGTGAGCGCATCAGAGGTGATGTGTGCTCATCCTGTGGGGGTGTTAGGCATGCTGGGTGATGGAAGTGCGGTGGGAACTTGTGCACGCCTTGGTTTGCAACTGTTGCAGGCGCGGGAGGGTGACAGTGTGCTGGGGAATGTTCGCACACCAGGGAGGATGTGCACACCGGAGGCCTCTGGCTTTGCAGATCCACAAACCCCCATGCTGCAGCCAGGAGGACGTCAGTCTGGCCCGCCACGGTGGCTGTCCCTGTGATTCTGCACCTTCTGGGCCAGGAGGCGGATCTTGAGCAGCCACTCCTGGGTGCTGATGGCCTGCAGGCACTACTTCAGCTCAGCCTGCAGGCTCCGCTTGGAGCACTCACAGCTGTCACCACCGCCATGTGGGGAGCACAGGTCGCCCTCCACCGGCCTGCCTCCCCTGTCCAGAGGCTCTCTGCGCTGCTCACCTGCCCAGAGTGACTGGGGCTGGGCAGAAGCCAGGCGTCCTGCCCTGCCCAACCCCAGCCAATCCGCTCCTGTGCAAGCTGCTGCCCTGCCGGGAAGGGTCATGGATCCGGGTACTGGGACCACGGACAGCCTCAAACACTGCCCCCGCCTGGCAGGGTCACAGATCCGGGTCCCAGACTGTGGACAGCCTTGCCTGCTGCCGCCCGCCTTCAGTATGCAAATTAGCCACCATCTTGTTGCTTCAGGGTGGGGGTCCCCACTGGGGTGACTGGCCAGCCTGGGTGAGGGGATGATGGCTGTTTGCAGCTGGTCACACCCCCTTCAGGGTGGGGGTCCCGCTTGGGTGCCTGGCCAGTCTGGGTGAGGGGCTGAGGGCCGTTTTCAGGCTGGCGGGCGACTGAAGCTCCCAGCCTCTCCTTTTTTCTTTTCTTTTTTTTATTCTGGGATTTATTTACCTTCTATGGCTGTCACTGGAACTGAGAGCCGGCTTTAATTCTGAGGCCCGGCTGCAGCTCTGAGACCTTGGCTGCTGAAAGCAAGGATCTGGGTTTGTTCTATAATTGAAACAATGTTGCAGTCCTGCTGGTTGACACCCGGCTGACTGAAAGCAGGTTTCTGTGGGTTTTTTGCTTCTATAATTGTAACAATGTCTCTTAAACTGCAAGCTCAGAGGCCGGCAGCGGCAGGCGGGGAACTTGGCTTCCTCCGTCACTGAAGCAAGCAAGCCTCCTGTTCGCTTCAGTGCCTGGCTGCCGGCCGCCATCTTGGTTGGCAGTTAATTTGCATATCGCCCTGATTAGCCAATGGGAAGGGTAGCGGAGGTACAGCTAATTACCATGCTTGTCTGTTATTAGATAGGATGGTATTAAGAATTTATCATGAGTATGAACATGTAAAATTTTTATTTCATATTTATCCTATCCTTTACATTTCTCTTTGGGAGTAATTTCCAATATTTATAATGAACATGCATAAAATTAATAAATAGTATTTGTATTGAAAGAGTGGTAAGAACAAATATGTTTGCAATTCACATCTCTAGGCCATGGGTTGGTGGGAAGAATAGGAGATGGTTGTGTACAAGGAGCATTTGGGATGTGGACTTAACTAGACTTGACAGCAAAGTGGATAATAGGACAAGATCAGGAAGGAATAAAAAGTGACTCTTGGGTTTGATACTGGAACGACAGGCCGTGGGAGGCATGGTGTGCCAGTGCATGTCTAGAGGAGGTGGCATTGGGTGCTGAGCATGAGGCGGACTGTGGATGGACATCACTGCTCGGTGGTCTCTCTTACCATGACCTACAGGTTCTCTGTCCCAGAATCAGCCACCCACAGCCCAGGCTACAAAGAACTGAAATAGAAGTTGGTGTTGTAAGTTTTGCCCCTGTCATTGGTGAGGGTGACAGGCTGTCCCACCTGTGAGGAAGTGGCTATGAACCAGCCGAGGCAGGCGACGGATTGGAAGGAGGAGGTGGAGCCCTCTATGCCACGCAGAAAGAGAAAGGACTTCTGTGCCTTCTTCTCCTGGTACAGTTTCATTATGCTTTCCTTCTAGGAGCAGAAAGAGGCCTATCAGAGAGGATTACTGGGAGGAGGGAGCTCAACTAACTCAGCCTCAGGAGTGACTGCTTTCCCCACAGGGAGGACCATGGCTGATGAGAGGAGGATGCCAGGTGTCAGCACAGGCAACACTTCACTTCCCAACAGCTTGGCTGCCCCTGAGATCCCACAACACCAGGCACTTCTGATTCTTTGAGACAACACCATCTTTCCCAGAACAGAGTGGGGCTCATTGTGTCATGGGTGCTCCTGCTAGGCACCCATCTACAGGTTCTGACCAGTATCACGAGATTCCCAGTCTCATGTGGGTTTGCACATTGCAGCGTCCATCACAGCAGAAGGTTGAGCTTCATGACTGTAAATACTGCTTTCAGTGCAGGCACCACAGACATGAAATCTGCAGCATCCAGACTCACAATCTACCCTTCTCTCCTCCGTGTGCCGTGGCCTGAGCTCACATGGGAGTGCCCGGCATCTCAGAGGGTTTCTGGGAGGCAGTTGGAGAGGAAGAGGAATGGAGAAGCTGCAGTCCTGGCCTTCCTGAACTGCCTTTGTGGTGTCCTTTCTGGCATTCAGAGGATGCTCTGACATTAAAGTAAGTGTTACACCCATTCCAACGGGAGCAGGTATTGGCTTGGGGACTATCTAAGTCAGGTTTCCTTACAATGAATAATCCAGGGTTGAAAAATGTTATTTTTACTCAGTAATATATTAAATTAAATTGAAACTCACAGTACTTCTCTCATTCGCTGCACAACCACTCACCTTAAGCTGCAAAGTTGGCCGGCCCTCAATTTCTGCACAGAACAGACACAGATCTTCCTTGACTCCCAGGTATATCGGACTGCCTTTTTCATTAGAGATGTCCGGGTCTGTGCATGGCACTGAGAAAACAGTAGCTGGAAATAGGGAGATGGAGACAGGCATCAGCTCCAGGAGGCAGCAAGGGGGTCCTGCCAACACTCTGTTGCTCCTCGCAGCCCCGTGCTGACCAGCCAGGTCTGCCCAGAAGGCTCCCCCAGTTAGCCAGGGGGTAGAACTGCTCCATCAGAGATGGGTGGTGGAAGCCCATTTCCTTTTCCCCTCCTTCCTATCAGAGCCCAGTTTCCCCAAAGTAAAGATAAAATTCGCCACCACACTTGCAGCAAACATAAGTTGTAGTCCATGAGCTCTAAGTGGAAGTGTAGTGTGGGATTTCCAAGAATGTTCTTTAAGGGGAGCTCACTCAGCTGGAAGGAGCACCTTTTTTGTTAATCCTCACCCGAGGGTATTTTCCCATTGATTTTTAGAGAGGGTGGGAGGGAGGAGAGACTCAGAGAAACATCGATATGAGAGAGACACATAGATTGGGTGCCTCCCACACATGTCCTGACCAAGGCTGGAGATCGAGCCTGCAACTCGGGTACATGCCCTTGACCTGAATTGAACCTGGAACCCTTCAGTCAGTGCATGAACTCTCTATCCACTGAGCCAAATCGGCTGTATATCCTGTGGCTTCCTTCACTTAGATGACGTTTGGCGTGACCTTGAGATTCACAAGGCAATATGGGCTCATCACACTGGCCTGTGGTTGGCATATAGCATGGTACGTTGTATATAGGAAAACAGAACGATGGTAGGAATGAAATGTGAGCATCAAGAAGAGCTTTTTAGTATTAAGCTTGGAAATATTATATCAGAGCATGTTTGTCAGTGACAGAAAAGACCCAATAGATAGACCAAGGTGGGATATGCAGGGAACAGAGGGATGAGATCAAACACTGAATCCTAGGGGGCGGGAAAGAGCTGAGTTGCATTGACTTCTTCCCACAGCTTCATTGACTCTTGATAGGAGGAAGACATATTCTCCTGTTACCAGAGGAGAGGACACCAAGCTAGAAGAGTGTGCAGTTTGGTGGTGGAAGGTGAAGGAATTTAATCTGAGGACATGGGTAGCAATGGATGACATTTAAAGGTGAGAAGCTCTGAGGAAAAGCAGCCTGACTGAATGGACAACCCCTTCCTGTTGACATTTTCTTTGGCCAAAGAGAACTGCCCATCCCTCACTCCTCATTTCTAGGTACAGAGTTTCCTATGCGGGAGGGAACCGCCTTGTCCTTCTTGCTCTCCTGTGGACACTGAGCTGGTGCCAGAAGTAGGAGAGGCCATACAGGTCAGCCCCATCCCCAGTGGAGCTGGTATCCCTTTAAGAGGCAAACATTGTCACTTACCAGGTTTGACTCTTTTGCTAGAAGGAACTGCGATTAATGACTCTCCCTCCAGCACCCACACCATCTGTTGACGATCACGAATACTAAAGGTTCCTGGACGTCCCATACCTACCAGGTGACGGGGGGGAAAAGCACAAAGCACACGTGAGGTTACCATCAACTTCAGGACTTGGGCTGCATCCTGTAATACAGTGGTTTCCCCACCCTCCCCTTCCTATTCAGTTTTACTTCCCTCGATTTCAGTTACCCACAGTCAACTGTGGTCAGAAAATATTAAAAGGAAAATTGCAGAAATAAATCATTCATAAGTTTTAAAATGCATACCGTTCTAAAGTTGTCATGGGACCTCACATCACCCACTCCATCCCACCTGGCATGTGAATTGTCCCTTTGTCCAGCGTGTCCTCACTGTATACAGTCCCCACCCAGGAGTCACTTGATAACCTTCTGAGTTATCAGATCTACTCTTGTGGTATCACAGTGCTTGTGTTCCAGTCACCCTTATTTTACTTAACAATGACCTCAAAGCTTAAGAGTAGTGATGCTGGCAATTCAGATGTGTCAAAGAGTAGCTGTAAAGTGCTTCTGTTCAGTGAAAAGGCATGTGATGTGTAGGAAACAACATATGTATGTGGGGTTGGGTACTATCTGTGGGTTCAGGCATCTGCTGAGGATCTCGAAACATATCTCTCTGAGATTGGGGGGTGGGAGCCACCGTACTGGCTTATGAATTTCTAGGGTAGATTTACGGTTGTAAGAGTGGCTATAGGACAAAGGGAGGGGCTGTTTTGTGGATCAAAGTGTCTGAAATCATGGTCCCCAAAGATTTTCAAGGGATATTAGTAACTTGTCCTTCTCTGATTGACAGTCTCTGAGTACTAAAAAAATGCCACAAAAAATGTTAAAATTGGTCATCAGAATGTTGTTTGTTTTTTTCTTAGCCCTCTTTATCAAAATAAGTAAACAATTCTAAACACACATAAGATGAGAACTAAATGCTCTGAGATTTTCAAGTGCAGCTTTCATGATGTGAGTATTTTAGCAAATAAATCTGTAGCTGAGCAAATGAGAGAACCTTGTGCCTTATTGTCCTTGGGGAGGCCGGATGGAGACCGCCATGCTGGTTTGTAATTTGCCACTTACTTAGTGTGGTGCCCCCCTTGTCTTTAGGTTTTCTGTGAAGAACATAAGGCAGACCAGATGGTGGCGAGGAGGTTGTCATCATCTGGCCTGTGAAAGAAGGAGGGAAGAAAAACACGTTATTAATTGCCCTGCCCTTCCCCTGGAAATGGATGAAAAAATTGTTCGGAGGAAGCTGCCTGGAGATCCTGACCCAGCTGCACATGTGAGACTGAGGATGGGAAGAGCATGTTCCCAGGCCAGACAACCCCAAGTGGAATCTCCCATCTCTGTCGGGACTCGATGGTCCTGGCTCTCCGGGCAGTGATGGCCCTGGGGTTCTCTCTACCCACCACATCTGGGGTTGCTAGGAGGTTCCAGAGTACCCCCAGGCACCTTCTAGGATGAGTTTCTGGGTTTAGAGAGGGTGTTTAGCCCTGCACAGCTGGTAAGTCATCAGTTCTCCTGACTTCAAGTCTGAGCATCCTAAGTGACTGGCAGCAAGCCTGTCTCTCTGCCCCCATCTCCCCAGTTCCCCACCCAAACAGGCATCTCTAAGGACCCTGCCATGGACATCCACAGGCTCCAGGTCACAGGACACATATCTCTGGGCTTCTGGTCAGGGCAGCAGGCAGCTCCCTGAGAAGACCACAGACTCCCCACAGTGAGAAGCAGTTGTTCACCACCCTCCCTGCCTCAGGACCCCCGGTGCCTGATTCTACAGTTATCCTTAGAGAGGGAGTAGGCAGCCACCCACAGTCATGGAAGCAGCCCAGCTCCTCTGATGCCCTGAGCCTTCGACCCCGGGCCCCTCAGCCCCAGAGGCTCCTCAAGGCTAGACAGGGCCCTGAGAGAGCTCCCCGCCACATGGCTTCTGAGCAGCAGAAGTTACCTTTGTTCAAAGGGATGCTCTTGTCCCTGGGCCAATGCAACCTTAGACTCCACCGCATGCAAGGGCTCCTTTAGAAAACTGATCAGGAACTCGGGCCTTCTAATGAGCTTTTAAGGTCTGGGTCATTTCCTGGTCTGGGTGTGCCCACGTTGTCAAAAAGGCTGGTCTGGCACAGAGGTCCCGGGAGTGTCACTGGGTGACTGGGAGGCAACACAGGTGTGGCCGTTCTGGGGTCCCAGAGAGACCAAGGCAGGTCAAAAGCCAGGAAATAATGGTGAAGAAACACGGATGAGGCCAGTGCTTTGTAATCAAAAATTCCTTGGGACCGCCCTGGGGACAGAGGTGTGACATGTCACTGACTGAGCCACTCCTCGTTCAAACCATTCAGGAGTTTTACACAACCAATATGCAGAGCTTATTCCATGTTGGAAAGCTAAGAGAAGTACCTGATTAATCATTTAATCCTCACAACAACCCTTGAGGGGCCATTAATCTTTACTTCTTATGCAAAATACAGAGACCCTAAGAGATGACAAGATTTACCCAAAATCACATGGCCAAGTTACAAGCCAGATGTCTCTGGTCTTAACCACTGCATAGTGTTTCCAGCAGCTGAGACGTGTGTGCCTGTGGCCCATGATGGGTGCTGAAACCTGCACCAACGCAGGGGATTGACTCGTGGGCCGGCGGGACCTGGGAGGCTTCCCAGCTCTGACTGGGATCAGACTCGGCCTCAGCAATGGCAATGGCATGGAAGGGAATCATTACTTTTGAAGCCCAATATTGTTGGTCAGCCCTAAATGTTAAAAAATCCTACTCATTCTTTGCCAAAATGTGCCTCCCTGTACACTCACAACCACGGGCTTCAGTTCTGTTCTCTGAAATCCACTGTGCACTCTCTCCCCAGATACTGCCATAGCCCCTCCCTGGTCTCCCTGCCTCTGTTCTCACCCGAGGAGTGAAATGTCCACCGGCCAACATCAGGGTCAAAGGTGTCGTGTGGTCATATCACTCCCCTGTCAGAACTCTCCAATGGCTTCATCACACCCAGAGTAGTAACCGAATCTCTCAGCATAGCCCACCTCTGCCCCTGCCCCTGCCCCTGCTCCTTTGACTCCCTGCTCCAGCTGCGCTGTCACCATACTGTTGTCTGTATCTATGTGTCATATCTCTATATTTTTTTCTTACTTAATCCCTTTACCTTTTTTCACCAAGTCCCTCCCCACTGACAGCTGTCAGTCTGTTCTGTGTTTCTATGCTTTTGTTTCTATTTTGTTTGTTAAATTATTTTGTTGATTAGATTCCACATATAAGTGAGATCATTTGGTATTTGTCTTTTTCTGACTGGCTTATTTCACTTAGAGTAATAATTTCCAGGTGCATCCATGCTGTCACAAATGGTTAGACTTTCATCATCTTTATGGCCAAGTAGTATTCCAAGATGTAAATGTATCACAGCTTTTTTACCCATTCATCTACTGATGGGTACTTGGGCTGTTTCCAGATCTTGGCTACTGTAAATAATGCTACAATGAACATACGGGTGCATATATTCCTTTGAACTAGTGTTTTGTGCTTCAGATATATTCCCAGAAGTGGGATCACTGGGTCAAAAGATAGTTCCATTAAAAAAAAAATGTGTTTTTTTTAAGAGAGAAACATCTATTGGTTGCCTTCCACACATGCCACACTTGTTGTTTATTGATTTATTGATAGTCATTCAGACAGGCATGAGGTGATATAAACTTTTACATCAAAATAAACCATCAACAAAATAAAATCTCACCCCACTGCATGGGTGAATCTGATACATCTGATAAGGGGTTCATTTCCAAAAAAATATAAAAAACTTATACAACTCAACACCAAGAAGACAAACAACACAATTTAAAAAAAAAAAAAACAGGCAAAGGATCTCAATTGACACTTGTCCAAAGAGAACATATAGATGGCCAATAGACACATGAAAAGGTGTTCAACATCACTAATCATCAGAGAGATGCAAATTAAAATGCAAGTATGATCTTATCACCTACATGCCAACTCCATCCGGCTAGGGCACTTGTCTGTCTCATTAACTATGTGCCTTGTTTCAGTAATGGTGTCTGGTCCATAATTAGACTTCATTAATATTTGTTGAATATACAAAGGACTGAATGAAGTGTCCCCATGAGTAACAGGAAAACTGGGAGGAGAAAAGGGAGTTGTGGTAAGGGACTAAGGATGCTCTTCCACCAAATGTCAGGGCTGAAGTGCCCTGGGAGACCCTCTCAGACAAGGAGGGGAGACTAGCTGCTTTGTTTCCAACTGGAGCCAACTCTGGGCCCAACTTGGCTCCTTGGCCAATGCCAGGTGTGAGGAGGGACTTCTGGGGAAAACTTGACAAGGTTCCAGCCTTGTACCCAGGAGGCCATATACCCCAGTTGGCCCAAGAGCACCCAAGTCGGTGCCCATCACTCTGGTGTAGTTATTAATAGAGCCCCTTCCACTCTCCTCCGTGTCCACAACTCTAGGGAAATGACTGACAATGGACAGGCAGAAGAGACGCAGTTCTACAATTTTGTAGGATCCCTGAAAGATGAAAGCTCAGGGAATGTCGTGCTGTCACCAGGAAGAAATATAATCTCTGACACCAACGTGGTCACTCAGAGGCTGGAGGCAGATCTCAGCAGAGGGGAGGAGGTTGGACAACGCCTATGGGCCCTGGGAGTCAGCACTATGTTTGGAAAAATAGTATCCCAACATCTTTCTTCACATCCTGGGGACAAGTAAAAATGTGATGGAAAGACTACGTGGGTTAAATGTCTGAGGAGCCACATTGCAGAGAACAAAGTTCACTGCTATGTGGGAAGGACCCATGTTCCATCAAAAGTTAGACAAGATAAGTCTTCAAAATCAATATGCTCTCGATGGCTGGGAGGCATATGGAATTATGGCTTGTGAGTTCCTGGGAAGCCCATGGCGATGTCAGAGCCCCTGCCAGGACAGGGCAGTTACTTCTCAGTGAGCTGTGTGCCAGCATCATGCACTGAAGTGTGGAGTGTGATTTCTAATCATGAGGCCCTATTTGTACCACCCCTCCCAGTAGTGAGGCCTGCAGAAACCTGAGTTTGGGAAGATACCACCTTCCCAGCAATCCTTGCTCAGGGTGTATGACAAGTCATGGCCGCTGCAGCTGACATTCTCCACACAGAAAGCCTCACTGAGCCTCGGGCAGCAGGAACCCGCGGGCACCAGTGCATGAAGCGGCCTTCACAAGGCAGAACCACCTTCCTTCCCCACGTGTGTAAAGCTAATTCTAAAAAAATGCTTAAAGTGATAGGAGGGTCACAAACCAGGCCTGAGCAAGGAGGGCAGAACACACCTTCAAGAGCAAAACCAGGAAGTTAGTCATCAGCCTTGAGTTTGAGGAAAGAAACTGTAGGGGACTGCCCCAGGGCTAAGGACTGGATGCTGATGCTGCAAAATGACGCACAGCAAAGTTAATCCTAAGAGCGAAGCCCTCAGTAGGTGAGGCAGGGGTGGGCCTCCTGAGACTGTGCAGCTTCTGCCGCTCCTGGTCCAGCGGCAGCATATGCTCTGCCAGCCTCACACCAGGAAAAAACAGCCCAGGGTACAGTCCTCCAGGTCCTCAGAGGACAAGTGCAAGCTGCTTCTCCACTCCAGGGCACCTCCTGGCAAGGCCAGCTCCTGGCACCCTGACCATGTGGCCCCGAGATCACTTCTCTAGATTGGCGGTGAAGGGAGCCTGGCTCAGAGGCTCCAGGGCTCTGAGCTAGCAGATGCGCAGTGTGTCTTCCAGGTAGGAAGCTGGAGCAATGCTGTCAGAGTTCACTGCCCCTGTGGTGTGCCCAGTCTCTGTCAGCCTTAGGCCTCCAGGCTGCTGAACCAAGGGGAGAGGGTCTGGTGGGTAAGTGTCCCAGTCTCCCCTCCTCTGGTGGGACCATGCCAGGGTTTCTCAGAGGGTTCCCTGCCCCTGTTGCCCACAGCCCTGACCAGCACTACAATTCCCTTCATTGAGTTTCTTGAGATCCTCTCCTCAATGAGTTCCCTCGTTTATCCTGGGAACAATCCACACTAAGGTAGCAGTTTAGTGTCAAAGGCAAGAAACTTATATTCAAACTAGAGACCCAGTGCATAAAATTTGTGCATCCGGGGGTGGTCCCTCAGCCCAGCCTGTACCCTCTCTAATCCAGAACATCCCTCTCG